CATAAATACAGATGTAAAAAACTTTAACAAAATATTGGCAAATAAAATGCACTAATATATATCAGCACTGCACTCTACCGATTGAGCCACGGGCCGGCCCAAAATGCACTAATATATAGAAAGAATTATATACTATGATCACGTAGGATCTATTCCAGGGATGCGAAGCTGGTTAAAGATTCAAAAATTAATCAGTATAATCCATTGTATTAAAAGGCTGTAGAAAAAATTAAGTGATTTATTAATTGATGCATGAAAAGCATTTGAAAACATTCAACAGCCATTCTTGATAAAAAAAAAAAAAGTAAAGCTCTCAGAAAAATAGGAATAAGAGGAACTTCCTCAACTTGATAAAAAGCATCTGCAAAAAACCTACAGCTAACACTACACTTGATGGTGAAAGACTGAATGCTAAGACTGGGAAGGAGGCAAGGATCGCTGCTGTCACTGCTCTTATTTAACATACTGTTGGAAGTCCCAACCTGTGCAGTAAGAAAAGGAAGTAAATAAAATGCATACGTATTGGAAAGGAAGAAATAAAACTGTCCCTATTCACAGATGACATGGTCATCTGCAAAGAAAATCCCTAGGAGTCTATAAAAAAAACTTCTAGTTCAGCAAGTTGACAGGTGCAAGATAAACATAAACCAGTAAGTGAGTTCAGCAAGTTGACAGGTGCAAGATAAACATACAAACATCAATCATACTTATATATATTAGGAATACATGGACACTGAAATTAAAGATACAATACTATTTGCAATTGCTAAAAAATTAAATTCCTAGGTGTAAATCTAACAAAACATGTGCAGGGCTTGTAAGATGAAAACTACACAATGCCAATGAAAGAAATCAAAGAAGATCTAAATAAATGGAGAAACATACCATGTTCATGGATTGGAAGAGTCAACATGGTAAACATGTCAGTTATCTCCAAATTGATATACAAGTTTAACATAACTCAAATCAAAGCCCCAGCAACACTTTTTGTAGACATAGGCAACATTGCTCTAAAATTTATATGAAAAGGCAAAGTAATCAATGGCTAAAACAATTTGTAAAAGAATGAAGTGGAAGGAATCAGTTCACCCAATTTCAAGACTTACTGTGTAGTTACAGTAATCAACAATGTGGTATTGGCAAAGGGATAGACACGTAGATCAATGGAACAGAACAGAGAACCCACACATGGATCCACACAGATATGCCCAACTGATTTTTGACAAAGGGGTAAATGCAATTCAAGGGAGAAAAGATGGCCTTTCAATATATGATGCGAGAGCACGTGGACATCAAAAGGCAAAAAATGAGCCACGACCTAAGTCTCACTCCTTGTAAAATATAACTCAAAATGGATTGCAGACTTCAGTGTCAAACCTAAAACTGTGAACTTCTAGGGAGTAAAAACACAGAAGAGAAAATCTTCGAATCTAGGGCTGGGAAAGGAGTTCTTAGTCTTGACACCAAACACACAATCTATCAAAGGAAAAATTGAAAAATTGGACTTCATCAAAATTTTAATACTTTTGCTGTGTGAAAGACCCTTTTAAGAGGATGAACAAAAAAATTACACGACTTCATAAAAATTTTAATACTTTTGCTGTGTGAAAGACCCTTTTAAGAGGATGAACAAAAAAATTACACACTGGGAGAAAATATTTGCAAGCCACTTATCTTACAAAAGACCAGTATGCAGATTACATAAAGAACTCTCAAAACTCAACAGTAAAAAAATGAAACAATTCAACTAGAAAATGGGCAAGAGATGCAAACAGATAATTCACAGAAGAGGATCTACAGATTGCAAATAAGCACATAGAAATATATTCAACATCATTAGCCACTAGGGAAATACAGATTAAGACCAAAATGAGGTATCACTTCACACTTACCAGAATGGCTAAATAAAAATAGTGGCAACCCCAGCGCTGGTGAGGGTGTGGAGAAACTAGGTCATTTATACACTGCTGGTGGGAGCATGAAATGATTCAGCCTCTCTGGAAAATAGTTTAGAAGTTTCTTAACATACAAAACCTGCTGCTACTATACAACCCAACAATTTCACTCCCGGGCATTTATCCCAGATAAATGAAAATGTATGCTCACACGAAGACCCCTACACAAATGCTTATGGCCGTTTTATCCTTCATGGGCAAAAATTGTAAGCAACTGAGATTTTCTTCAAAAGGTGAACCGTGAAACAAGCTGTGCTCCATCCATCCGCGGAGCACTCCTCAGCAATGAAGGCAGCATGCCACAGAACTCACGACACCTGATGAGTCTCCAGAGCATCCTGTGCATGGAAACAGCCAACTCCAAAAGATCCCATGCAACGTTCCTGAAATGGCAAAGTGACAGAAATGGAGAACAGATGAGCAGTTGCAGGGGATTAGGGCAAGGGCAGAGAAGTGGGTGTGGCTATCACATGAGGGACCCTTGGGATGACGGACAGTAGAAGGATGGAGCGATGGGATGAGCTATATTTTGACTGTATCAATGTCCATTTTCTGGTTGGGAGGGTGCACTACAGTTTTTAAGATGTGTCCACTGGTGGAAACTGGGTAAAGGGTACATAGGATCTCCCTCTATTATTTC